GGGGCCCCCTCGGGTGCCCCCCCGAGCCCCCTGGGTCTCTCTTGGCCCCCCCAGGTCCCCTACACAGACGCCTGGGTCCCCCTCTAGATGCCGGGGTCCCCCTGGGTGTGTCCCCAAGCCCCCTGGGTCGCCCTTGCACCCTCCCCGCCCCGGAGGCCCAAGTTCCCCCCCAGACGCCTGGGTCCCCCCCCAGGTTCAAGGAGGTCTCCGCCCGCAGCAAGGAGGAGCTGGTGGCGCAGGGCTTCACCGAGTTCACCATCGAGGACTTCCACAACACGGTGGGGACATGGGGACGTGGGGGGGCATGGGGACACGGGGGGGACATGGGACACAGGGACACCGGGAGACATGGCACCTGCGACCCCGTGTGTGACCACGAGGGTCCCTGTGACCCCATGTGTGACCCCATGAGGGTGCGTGTAACCCCATGTATGGCCCCATGACAGCACATGTGACCTCACGTGTGCCCCCGTGATGGTGCATGTGACCCTGTCTGTGACCCCCCGATGGCACATGTGCCCCTGTGACAGTGCATGTAACCCCATGTGTGCCCCCCTGACACACGTGTGCCCGGCAGTTCATGGAGCTGATCGAGCGGGTGGAGCGCCGCGTGCCACTGCCAGAGCTGCTGGCGGCCTTCAACGAGCCCAGCACCTCCGACTACCTGGTGGTCTACCTGCGCCTGCTGACCTCCGGCTGCCTCCAGCGCCACCACCGCTTCTTCGAGCAGTTCCTCGAGGGCGGCCGCAGCATCAAGGAGTTCTGCCAGCAGGTCAGGGCCTTGCACAGGCCACGCACCGCCTCCCAGCAGCCTCACACGGCTCCGCTTGGTCCTCGCGTGGTCTCTTGTGGCCCTTGCATGGCATCATGCAGCTTTGCACGGCCTGGCATGGCTTTGCACGGCCTCGCATGGGTCCCGCGTCGGCTTCTGGGGCCCCTGCGTGGCTTCCTATGGTCCTGGAGGGGTCTCTTTTGTGGTGTCTTGCAGCTTCGCATGGCTTTGCACAGATTTGCACAGCCTCACGCAGGTCTCACCCAGGCCTTGTGCCACCTCTCGGCACCCTCATGCAGCTCCGTGTGGTCCTTGCGGGGTCTCCTGTGGCCTTTACGTGGTGTCTCGCAGCCTCGTGCAAACTTGCACGGCCTCAAACTGCCTTTGCACGGTCTCGCATCACATCCCAGGGCCCCCGGATGGCATCACGCAGCCTTGCGTGGCTTTGCGTGGCCTCACACGAGCCTTGCGCAGACTCGTGCTGCCCGCGCGTGGGTCTCGGGCCAGCTCCCGGCGCGCTCGCGCAGCTTCAGGTGGTCCTCGCGTGGTCTCTTGCAGCCCTTCTGCGACATCACGCAGCCTTGCACGGCCTCCAGTGGCCCTTGCGTGGTCTTGCACAATCTCACACTGCCCTTGCACAGCTTCTGATGGCCTTTGCGCAGCTTCACGCAGCCTCTAGCGGCCCTTGCACAGCCATCCCACAGATTTACACGGCCTTGCACAGCTTTGCACTGCCCTTGCGTGGCCTTTTACAGCCTTGCACGGCCCTCGCATGGCTTTGCACGGCCTCCCACGGCCCTAGCATGCCCTCTGATCCTCCGTGCGCGTCCCTCCCACAGCTTTGTCCAGCCTCGCATGGCTTTGCACGCCCTCGCCCGGCCTCCAAGTGCCCTCGCCCGCCCCCAGTGCCCTCTCGTGCCCCTTGTGCAGCCCCCCTGACCCCCGTTTCCCCTTACAGGAGGTGGAACCCATGTGCAAGGAGAGCGACCACATCCACATCATCGCCCTCGCACGAGCCTTGCACGTCTCCATCCTGGTGGAATACATGGACCGGGGGGAGGGCGGCGCCACCAACCCCCACGTCTTCCCCGAGGGCTCCCAGCCCCGCGTCTGCCTCCTCTACCGTCCTGGCCACTACGACATCCTCTACAAGTGAGCTCTCGCCTCGCACGAGGCCTCGCACGAGACCTCGCACGAGGCCGGCGGCGCCTCGCACGGGCCCAGTGCAGCTCCCCGAGGTCGCGCCGGGGCTTCGCGCGG